GAGAGCACTGGTTTCCACTTGGAAGCCCTCTTTATTTGGCCGGGGATGGAGAAAGGCTGAGGTCAGAGTGCACGCATCCCCATGGAAACAGCAATGAGCCTGGCCCCTGGGGGACCCTGGCCCAGGTGGGGGATGGGGAGGCCAAGCTGGAGCTTGGGGGGCTCCTCCAGTGAAGGGGCCTGACACTTGCCTTTGGCAGCAGCTCTTACAGGGGGGTTTGGGCCCTGAACTGCAGAACCTGTGGCCGGTTCTGTCCCTGCTCCAGCAGGACCGCAGAGAGGAAGCGGGAACTCCAAGGGAGAGTAGATGTGCCTCCAAGAGCTGTAGGCCCCACGTGGGCGGTCAGTGGACAGTGGGCAGCCGGAGACGGGAGGCTGCGGGGCTGGCTCCAGAGCCGGCGGGCAGGTCTGGGGTACCTGGGTCCTCAATGCCTTGCTCAGCTCAGCTCAGCTCAGCCTGAGAGGCTAGTTGTAGGGGGTGGGGGTGGGGGCAGCTGGTGGGAGCCATGATGGAGGGCCCCTGAACCCCAACAGCCCGAGCAGGGCAGCCCTCGCCCTCTGAAAGGCCTCCTGTGTGTCTGTGGTTGCTGTTTCACGTCGAGACTGGACTCGTAGTCCCTCCAATGGCTGCAGTTGCCCCCATCCGAGTACAGAGTTTTCGTTTAGGGAAGTGATGAGTCTCAAAGAGGCCAAAACCAGGTTCAGGCCCAGCTGCCGCCGCCCTTGAGTGCCCTGCACACCTCTGGGCCTGCCGGGCTCGAGGCTCCGCCTTTCCTGGCCCTCACCCACCTGCCTGAGGCCTGCTCTCCAAGAACCACTGTCCTCCCCACCCACCCTGCAGCGGAGGCTACCCCGGCTCTCACAACTCCCGAGCTGTGTGCCCACCTGCGGGAGCCTCACAGCTGAGCGCATCCGAGGGACGTGCACCTGCATGGGACTTCCTTGTCCAGGAAGCCACCTTCAGGCTCCTGCAGTCCATCCGGCAAGGCCCCCGGGCTGTGTAGGGCTTGGGTGTGTGTGTGTGTGTGTGTGTGTGTGTGTGTAGGGCTGAGGGCTG